TGTTCTGGAGTTACAAAGATCTTTTTTCAATTATTTCTAAGCTAATCTTTTGGACATTATTAATGTTATCCTCGGAAGGGGTAAGCCTAAGGGAAGTACATATTTGAGTCTGTGTTCTAGATGTGTTTCAGTGAACTTTTTTTGCAGCAGTGACAGCTTTTTGTACCTGTGTGTATGTGTTAGCATGTGTGTATAAGAGGTATACAGTAGATCCATCATAGCCTGCTCATAAGGCAAAAAATTAGTGATAACGTTCTGGCAGATATTAAGGCTTAGTGAAGATCACAGGAGTAAAGACATAGGAGGAGCAATGAGAGTGAACTGATATTTTCTCAAAGACAGCAGATGAGTAAAGAAACATCTCAACACCTGTGGGGAAAGGTCACTCTTACGCTAACAAGCTACTCTCTCCCTCTACACAGACCTCATTGTTCCTTCAAATAATTTTTCCCCCTTCCTTCTGCTACAGGTTGTTGCAATTGTTTTGAGTTTCCAAGTTTTAAAATTCCTGGTTCTTTGGCTGCACGACACTTTCTCTGTTCGTTCTACTTCCTCCACGCCCTTCCTGCTCTTTCATTCCTTGTTCTCTAAACAGGAAAAAAGTGGCCCGCTTTTACCTTTTCCACAATTTCTTTTCTGTCTGAGTCACGGATGGCCAGAGGGGGGAAAAAAGTCACTTTCTGGTACTGATTGGTTAAAATGTTTATTCCTACAAATGACAGAAAAATCAGTATCCCACCACTGCCTCTGTGTTCTAAAAATATTTTGACTGGCAGCGGTGCCTGGCAAACGCAGAGCAGTCATTATAGTGAAGTTTACAATTGTGTGCTTGCATGTAATGCATCAAACATTGAGTCCCTCAGGAGGAGCTCTTGGCATCAGAGAAAAATCAGTCCTGTAGTGACATTAAGAGGAGGATGTTCACTCCTATATTTTGCTCCTATATTTGACACTTATCTGTGACTGAATTAACATTTATTTCAGTTCCCTGAACAAAAACTACCAAGGAACAACAGGAATTCAGTCAAATGAAATAATTTGTTTACTCTGGAAGTCAGCCAAAGCATCTCATGAGGCATCGGAACTCTGGCTGTGTTCATTCAAGCCCACCAAACATTTATCCACATATGCCCAAATTCAAGGTTTAATCACGGTGAGTTGTGATTGTGCATTAAACCTCTGCGTTGCAACAAACAGAAAGATTCGGTGCTACTGGTCCTTTCAAAACACAGACATCCTGTATACAAAACCCCACTCACACACAGACCCTTTTAGCTTATGTATATGGATGCCGTATCAGATTTTTAACATTTGTTTTGAAATTCTGCCGTGGAAACCACAATGTTGAGGCACTCTTGGAAGATGTAAAACATGGTGGAAACGACAGGATTTGTCTCTCTCTGTTTTGGCCCCACTTCATTTATTGTGCTTAGCCCGATTTTGTAGACTCTCCTTTAAATCGATTTTTTCCCCATTACACCGCTGCCCTGCCTGTTGGCTTTGGCATAAATATCTGCTCAGTTTATTTAACCTCAGTGTGATTGACAGCCCTTGTGTTGTGTTTGCCACTGGACCTCCCCCAAGTGCAGCCTAGAATGCTACATAAAAACACAATGTTAAATGTCCCATGCTGGAAACGTGTGGTTCCAGTTAAAATGTCACTTCTGATCACCTGGTTAATTGTGAGACAGAGGTTATTGTGTGTCGTACTCCTTAGATCTGTTGCTAAAGGCAAATAAATGGTGCTGTGTCAGTCACTGCCCTGAACTACTCTTAAATGTTGAAAAGAAGAAGGGATAAAGGCTGACAGAGGAAAAATCTTTTAAACATTGTCTCCGTTTTCTACATTTGTTGTCAAAGCCAAAAGTAGGGATAAACAAAAAAAGATTATTAGAGAATACACCTCATTGACATGTGCTATTTGGATGAATGGTGGAAGATTCAAACAAGCTAAATCGATTATTTGCATAGCTCTACATGTGCATGTGTATGATACATATGTGTACAAGTTTCGTGTGTGTGCGTGTTCCCGTACAAGGTGTGTGTTCAACATTACACAAAGCAAGGAGCATGTTAAATAGGCTGTTGCACTTTTGGCCACGTGAAGTCTCATGAAGTCATCACAGTGTAAATTGATCATCATTTTGTCTGAAAGCAACACTGACTATAGTAGGTCTAAGTTCACTTCTTCTGATACAACTTTATCTATTTTTTTAGGTTAAAATAAGTAAAAAAGTGGCCCAGTGGTTTGCTCTGCTGCCTGACCCAAGTGCTCCAGCTGCAGTTTGTCTATGCAGAGTTTGCATGTTCATGTCTCTGTAAGTAAGGTGGATGGTAGACTGCTTAAAGTGTAACTACACTCTCTTTAGTTCTGCTAGCTCCGTCCCTCTCTGTAAATTTGAAAAATGCATCAGAAACCCGCAAAGGACAGTGACTTTAGGGGGCGTGGCCTCAACACCAACCAGAGTTATTGACAGATTGACCACAGCAGTGTAGCCATTGACAGTATATATAATGGACAGAGCTTCCAGGTCTGCAAAGTGAAGCCAATGTAGAAGTGTCTTAAACCTGCATTCTATGTAAAGGCAGACAGGGGGAGCTCCATTTACTGCAATAAAAAAACAATACCATTCACTCTATGGAGAAATGACCTGACTTCTCACTTGATTTATTAACTCAGTAAACAGTTTCCTAATGAGTTTATGGCCTCAATCTGTAGTGTCAAGTCTTCTTTCATACATTATGATGTTCATTTGGTGAATTATGGTCCAGTTTAGAGTAAAATAGACGATAAAGCAGGGTTTGCTTTTGGGCGTGGCTAGAATCAGAATCTTCTCCTTTCCTGCACTTGTGCTAGGCTCGTCTATGTTGAAAGGACAACCAAGTTTTGATGATGGTTAAAAGTTTAAAAGCTATATAAATATGTAGTCACATCTAACTGATAGCTAACAAGCTAGTTGTTCTACCTAAATCATTAGCTAACTAGTTAGCGATTGATTTGCTCTTATTAGCAAGCTAGTTACATCTGATAGCAAACTAATTTACATCAATAGCATTTTGCTAACTTAAGATGTGACCATATAGCCTTTGTTGCATTTATCTTTAAACAATCAAAATATGGTTGTCTTTTCAACATAGATAAGCCTAGCACATAGCATATATAGGTACAGGAAAAGAGAAAGTTGACCCAGAATCTGACCTACTGTTCAACTGTTGCCATTCACACTTAAGTGGGTGTCGAAGTAGCGTAATCTGTAATGTCACTGACTTGTTTTAGTGTTTGGGCACAGTGAAGTTAGTCAAATAAACTGAAATCAACTGACGTGTGTGTGTGTGGTGGTGTGTGTGGGCAATTATAAGCAGGGATGACAAAGCATTCATTTTTATCTCAGGCTGCAACAAACCCCAATGCACTCTTACTGGAATTAGGCCTGCATTGGCCCGAAGACACAGGAGAGCGCGCACACAGCCCTACTCTGCTTATGAAGCTCTGAAAAGCTGCTCAGTTATTTGCATCAGGGACAAGCTCGTTTTCAGAGAACTAAAGAGAAAATAAACATACAGTGTATACATCCACATTTAAGCAGCTTTTTCTTCACGTCTCCTTCCGCTCCTTTTATCCTGGTCATTTCCGTACAGTACAAATATTTTCCTAACGTATGCGTCTATATCTGATCTTCTGTCATTTTCTGTGAATGCTTCATGGCGTGTGTACATTGTGCAACTGCTGTTTGTGGGACATTTTCTGATTAGTGGTCTGAAGCACAAAAAAAGGCATTTGAATAATTTTTCCACATGAAGCAGATGCCCACACGCACAAACACACACACACACACACAGAGACACACACACACACACACACACACACACACACACACACACTTACACTCACTCACTCACTCACTCACTCACTCACTGGTCCAAACTCCCCTGAAACACACACACACTGAGCATTGTGTTCCAGGTTTTATTTTTCACAGGGACTTCTCCACTTGCAGTTCATTTCAGCAGAGAGAAACACAGCTGGAGCTTCTGGGACGCAAACAATGCCGTGGCAATGACCATGCCAGACACATACAAATACAGAACATCCTTCTTGCATTTCATTGGCCATCATTGAATGACACTGTTCAGCTACATTACACAGTTTCTTTACTTTTAAAGCTTAGTTTGTCCTCAGTGTAGTCTGTTCTGTTTTTGTAATTACTGTAATTAATTTAATTTCTGTACCTTTCTGTAGTCAGGTACTTAGACTCTATCCAAAAAATATGTAATTCTACTTCCAGGTATGTCTAAAGTGGTTGAGCAAAGTGATCCATCACTGTGAATACTGTGTATTCATTTATTTTCTTCAGCATTTCCTAACACATTAAATAAACTCCAGTTTCACTGGACACAGAAAAACTTCATATGTGAATTGAGTCTTGAATAATCCGACAACCCCCTGCATGTTTGAATCAATTGAATTTGAACACATCTGTACACATCATGTTTGGTTGCATATTGCATGTACATGTAGTTGACAAATGGCCAACAATCTTCAGTGTTTTCCTCCTTTCTCTGTTTACAAACTTCAGAATTAGCTGAAATGGCACATCCCAACACATTTATAGGAAAATATACAAACTGGATTCACACAACCATGTCTTTGACAATAGATGACTACGATATTAGGATTGTGGAGATTAAGAAGGAGATTGTGAGCAATAGGGTTAAAAACAACTGTATGTCCTCTTAAAGCGTGCAATTTTGATAAACACTGTATTTTATTGTTCATGCAAACTGTGAGCTTACATATCAATCCTTTGTGATACAGTTCAGGTTCAACCCAAGAGTGTGATTCAAACTGCAAAAGAAGCATTATTTTACTTATAATAACATCGGTACAGCAACCTTAGTTGAACCTCTTTAACATTTCTGTTGGTGAAAATTTCTGAACAAACATATTCAGATATTTGACTTGAGTGTACATGATCTTGCTGAACCCTCTCACTCTCCACAGATTCTTTGGCTTACACAGAGAGCATGACAACATTGTCAGCGTAGATCCAACAGTGATCCATGGTGAGTAATTTTAATTGCTTTAACACATCCATCATCGTTTGTTTATTGGTTTTTCATGCTCCGATGCCTCTTAGTTTTCATTAAAAATGTATCCGAGAAATAAGTTCAGTCTCTAAATCTCAGCTGAAATGTTTGATATTTACAGGTGGCATCTGTGGTTTGGGTCCAACTCATTTGCAGGCTCAGGGACTGATGTCAAGGGAATTTGGTGCTCTATCTTAAATGGAATGTGTGAGGTTTTTGGCTAAAAATTTCCAAAATATATAACACTTGCCTCAGCGAGTGAATAGGGAGAAATCTACACACACACAGTCACTACTCTGGAGGACCATACAGGCCAACACTTGATGAATCTATCCCCTGCTATGACAGTGATTGGGGTCTAAAACTGAATACGTTTCTGTGAGTTTCTGCTGTGGGATTTGTGAGAGGAGAACTGCAGAATAATGTGGAAGCAAAAATCTGTCAGTCAACATGCTGTCAACATCTTGTGGAGGAGAATGTTTTCATTTTTTTCTTTTCTGACAAAATATTTAATAATTTCCAAGGAGTGTTAAATTAAAAAAATGAAGGGTTCCATGTGCTTTATGCATTTTACTGCAGGGCTTCAGCATGAACACTAGCCTATCTTTATTTGATTTAAATTGTATGTGGGGAGTATGGATCATTAGTATTAAGTATTATAAGTTGATATTCATTTAAATCTACCACATGGAGTTTTTAAATGGATATGATACGGGCTCAATTTAATACCTATACCTCTGTTTGACCTACATAAACACACAAGATCATCAGTGAGAAGATTGGATATTTTTATGTCGTTATTCTTAATGCCTGCCACCAGGTTGGATTCAGTTGGATTCCCCTTGAAATTAATGAAACAAGGTAGTAGAAACACTACCACTTTTGTCCACAGGGGCAGCCAGAATCAACAAAACATTAAATGTTCTTTGCTGCTGCTTTAAATATTCACATTCATAAGTCTGGTGATATTTTAGATTTTTCTTACTATCAACAAATTCCTTAAAAAGACTTCAATCAACGATAAACATTATTAAAAACACATCAGTGAGCCACACAGTTACATACAGTACCCAGCTGTTTTAGGAAATTATTTATTAATACATTTATTTAAAAATGCTGTAAATGTTTTAACATTTCAGTCAGAATGACACAGGGTAGGGAAGTTAGAAAGTATTAAGAGACGCATCGTTGATTTTTTATTTTTTCCATGCAATTTGTTGAAAATAAGAAAAATATAGAACATCACCAGCCTTATCCTTTCATTATTTGGCAAATGATATAAAACATCAACAATCAAGTACACTTTCCAGCTACTGTGCTTAAAACTTTTGCAGATTTTAAATTGTAAGGAAATGATTGTACATTTTACTGCACTATATCGAGCTTAGTGTGACACCAGTGCTACATTAAATGGCCTGGAGAGTTTTGTTTTAGGTATTTTTCAAGAACATTCATTTACTTCAGAAAAATCATGGCCCATGAAAATCCAAATAATTTTCCTTTTGTCTTCATGTACTTGTCACCTCATTTCTTAGTAAATTATCACAGGTTAAAGAACACCTTCCAGCTACTGTAAAAATTAAATTAGCTCCTGCCCGTTCCTGCACACACACACACACACACACACACACACACACACACACACACACAGACACACACACACACACACACACACACACACACACACACACACACACACACACACACACACACACACACACACACACACACACACGCGTGTGTTTATATTCTCCACTGTGCTGTTGTATTATTCATAGGTAACAAAATGTAACCTACCATTTGAGACAGATGGTCTGGCATATGTTCCTCTACCCGACTTTGGACGCAGTACACACTCGCGTACACGCACGCACGTACACACAGAACCTAAAGCTTGGAGACCTGGTGCTCCTCAGCATCCCAGTAAGCCCATAATAAGAATGAGAGTGACACTGTAAGGATTAACATAGTGGCACTGTGGATATACAGATGGGGCCTCAGCGTGTCTCTAATGAATGTGGTCTGTGGAGCCAGTAGATCTGTCTGCTGTATGTGCAGTGGTTTATATGCTGCAGCTCCACTTATTGACTTGGCCTCAGTTCAGGTCCCACTAAGATAAGTGCCAGGTGATGACGTGAGGGCTCTGCGGGTGTGACACAGTTAGTTCTGAACCCCGTAGCTCCCAGCGAGCATGCTCCCTTTGTGTTTCTTTATAGTCCAGAGGGGGCCGGGAGCCAAGAGGTGACAAAAAGCAGCGGTGAGGAAGGGGCGAGACTGTAAATAACTGGTGGAAAAAGATAGCAGAGATCCACAGAGGAGAGGAAGGAGTAGATGTTTCAGTGAAAAGTTTGCTCCGAGAGTTTCTGTACATCCCCATTTAGCAGTGGAGAGAGTTAGGAAGGGGAGAGGAGAGTGACAGCTACAGTAGTCCAGTGTGGAGATGACTAGAGATGAGAGGTAGCACAGTGACGGACAGCAGCCACAAAGAAAGACCCGACCACTTGCGCTCCCCAGAGGACCGCGTCCCCCCAAAGTAAGCTACCTGGGCTGCAGAGAGAGAGGCAAAACAGAGGGCAAGGAAAAGTTAGCCAACATCTGTGTCTTTATGGCTGAAAGAGAGCTCATTCTCATGGGGGGGTTAGTCATGCAAGACAGCGGGGTGCAGAGAGGGGACACAGCCAGTGGAATGTTAGCACCTCTAAGCCTTTACTCAAAACTAGAGTAATTAAGGCAGCTTAAAGCATCTCGTTCTCTGGCAGTGCTTCCTTTGTTCTCCTGATCTTGGTAATCCAGCTAAGTCTACCCTGACTCTGCCAGGACCACTCACCCACACAGGCTGACCCATCGTCGTTGGGCTCAAAGCCCTGGTTGCATCTCCTCTTGGCGCGGCACTTATAGCTGCCATAGGTGTTGGTGCAGACAGGGCGGTCAGAGGGGCACACAGAGGGAAACTGGGTACACTCATCTTCATCTGAGAAAAGGGGGAGGCGAGGGAAGGAAAGACACTTTTTGTCTTGATTTTAAACAGGGACACAAGCAGAAAATAGGTAACAGATACATCTTTACAACTTACCGGTGCAACGGCCATTCTCATTCAGAGCAAACCCATGACCACACTGCAAGACACAGTTTAATTAGGAACAACAACATATTTGTAGGAAAATACATGTGTAGATTTTTTATGTGATTATTCAGACAGGTGACACATAAAGGAAAAATATGATAAAACATGTGGAGAAACTGTTGCAGATTCCCACAATGCCCTCATCCACAGGGCAGGAGGGGTCACTGAATGGTTTGATGAGAGATCTCAACAAAACTTAACACTTTTTTTTTTTAGAAGAGGTGTGAACCAGCTCTCTCCACCACATCATCAAAACACAAAATGAGGGAATTCTTCTGCCATTCATCTGTCCGGTAGACTTCCTGACACTTGGATAATCTATACCAATGAAGCTGTTCTGTAGGCTTATAGAGACCCAACATCTTACTGACTTTATGTTGGTGTTTCCTGTAATTTGTCACCCATCTGTAGTATCTTTAAGTTATAGTGAGGGTATCAGTTTTTTTTTTTTTTTTGTTTGTAGAAAGATTATACAGTCCCAGTGAACATTTGTGAGGTCTATTGACCTGGTAGAGGCCCCCCATTAACCCCATGTTCTTCCCATTTTCTTTGCAATGTCTGCACTTTTTCTATGCTGGAATACTACCTGACCTCAAGTCTGCTATGTTGTAATTTGACTAAACACAAATACAGAAATATTTGCAATAAAAAAAGCACAAAACTTTTATAATCAAGGCCTAGAGTTTCTTTCTAGTCTGTGTTCGTCTGAGCCCCTTCATCTGAAGAAAAGTTTCACAGTGCTGTACCTCTATTTCCACAGTAGGAGTGATTTCCTCCTCATCTCTTGGATAGTGGATCTCCAGCACCGTGTTGACATCTGAAGGTTCCAGGGGTCGGGCCACTGAACGACCATCCGGCCAGTACACCTCGACATTGGTGGCCACATCCTTACCTGGTTAGACATACAGCACAACACACACATTCATATGTCCTTTAGAGATTCTTGAGGGCTCACACAGTTCAGTACATACTGTAGGTTATCATGGGTTGTCTCATGAAGCTTTCTCCTTTTCTCTCTTTCTCACTGCTACAGTGAGAGAGAGAGTGGCACTCTCCTCTTCTCTCTCCATTAACTATTTTAATCAGGCATAGAAAAAGCCCCTCTCCAGAGGGCCTCTGCAGCCCTTAATTAAAGTGGCATTTCTACTGTAAACAGATCTTGAGTTATCTTGCCAGACAGTGATCTACTCAGCAGGTGTGCTGCCTGAGAGCCAAAGAATATTTCACCTGTTCTGCACCCGCATGACACCCGCTCATTTAGTGGAGGGGAGTCACATGTCCACCAGTTTGCAAGTGTGGAGGTTTGTTTTGAAGCTACAACAGTGTGGAAAGTTTGCTCTTAAGCCGGGCTCAGAATACAGGAGTTTAGAAATCTGAACTGATTTTGAAATGTGGTTGCATCTCATACATAAGGAGAAACTTCACAAATGTTCTTCTCTCGAATCTCAAACATGTACACGCTGAAAATATTGATGCATCACAGAATCCTATGCCAGAGGGACCAATGCACAACCTCACGTGATCTCATAAGGAACTAATGTAAACATAATGGAGACAAACGTGGTGCAACAACTTGCTATAGAAATGCTTTGGAGTGATAAAAAGCAGAAGGCTAGACGAGTCTGGATGAGAAAATTGACAAGGACACAGTCAGTCAGTTTTAATATCTGTCAACAGTAGAATGCTAGCTAACGTTAGCCTCAAGGGCTAGAATGTTTACTATTGCTTGGCATCACCGTCAGCTGCCCCGGGACTTGTAGATTCGCTTCTCTCTTTGGCTATTGTGGTCCCGCTCAGAAAGTACTGACATAATCATCCACATTTTTACTCCACTTCACTACTACTTCAGGAGGTTTAAAACCAGATCTGTAAACCACTCACATTACCAGATAATCTTGGCCAAACTTTGGTGCCGACCAGATTTTTCCTCCAATTGTCAGTAGGGGCTCCTGTAGTCTGAGCCCTGGCTTTAGAGTGTGTTATGAGTAATCAAGCATTAAAATTGAGGGCCTCCAGAGATGATCTGTGCTTGGACCAGATCCCAGGTACCAGGCCTGGATGACCACCAGCTGACAGTCCTATGGGGGCAGAAGGAGCTGGTTCCAGCCAGCTGTAGCACCTGTCCTCCATCTCTCTCTACTTTGTCCACTCAGCTCCCAGCCACAGACAACTTAGTCTCCCATGGGTGTCTAATCAGCCTGGAGGCATTAAAACAATGCTTTCCACATGGAGTTTTCATTTCCCTTCTCACAGCTTCTTTCACTGTCCATTTCTCTTTATATGTCTATCCCTTACCCAGCTATAGTAAAGAGTAGTGCTGACATGGTAGTCAGTTAATCAATTAATCAGTCAACAGACTAAATCAACACCAACAAATCTGTTATCAAGAAAAAATGCCAAACATCTGCTGGTTTCAGTAATACTTCCAGTGAACTAAGAGGTTCAATCACTGTTACAACTTTGTGTCCTTCAAGTGTTGAAATCCAAACTTACCAAGGCCAAAGTGGGCGACAGGCTCCATCTCACACAGGTACCCTGAGCCACCATCAATGATCCGTGTGTGTGGGCCACTCTTTTTAGTGTACACCACCACTTTAGCTCCTCTGGCGAAAGCACCAAACTTGGTCCGGGGAATCACTCTCAGCCAGGAGTTGGTGGTGCCCTGACACAGACAGAATGAGAAACGGGAGGGTTGGGGTTAAGATTACACTGTCAAACGGATTTCTAGGCTTTTAAGATGTCTCCCAAACACTCACCTGGATGACTTTGTAGACAGAGAGCGGCTGTGCTGCACTTTCACCATGAGACACCAGCAGTTCCAAACGCCCGTCGCCATCAAAGTCTGTGGCTACAGCTCCTGGAGAGCCATCACAGTAATGATACAACTAAACACTCTGAGAAACCGCCTAGATAACATTTATTATCCTCATGCAGGCAGGAAATCATGGACATAATGTTTCAACAGTCATGGAACTAATTATGTCTAACAAGTCCTTTTTCTTTTATGAAGCGCATGAGGAAACTCACATCACTAGTGGAGCTCTGGTGCCACCTAATGGTGAGATGTTGGAGTGGCAGATAATTATCATCGATCATGCTGAGTTATAAGACAGACTGCTGTTCTTCCACACTCACCGGTTCCTCGTCCTTCAGGCTCTGATGCCTCCCCTACATTCAGCTCTTCTATCTGAGGGTCTCCATGCTCTCTCCTGCTCACCCTATCAAATCAACATCACAGCAGCTACCCATCAAATCACTGTAAACATTAATACATTAACCACTATAAATATTAGCAGTATTATAATGCAACATTTTATTTACTCAAGTATTGTACTAAAATTGTGAGGTACTTGTACTTTACTTGAGTATTATCATTTCATTCTACTTTATACTAGAAAAACAGCTATTAGTTAGATTGTATATCTCTATATATCACATAGCATACAGACCCAAAACGGAAATATTTATTATTATTATTTGTTGACACATACTTATTCAGTATGCCTTCTAAAAATTTAATAATAATTAATATTATAAATATTATTATTATTTATTTTTCAGTATCTTTTTTGTGGTTTTATCTGATTGTAATTGTCATCTTTCTGTAAAGCCCTTCAGTCAAAATGTGTTGTCTTTAAATGTGCCCTATAAATACACTGCATTGACTTGATTTGAATGTCTGCTGAAACACATTTTTTGGAAGAAATCATACATATTTCCAGCCCCCAAGTACCTTTAGTGACAAAGAATTTCTTTATCCAAGTTTCTTTAATTCATAATGCCATTTTACAGTGCACTAATGTGCTGATCCTGGCTGTTAAACTCCTCAGCTCAGCTAAATATTGATTAGTTGCATTAAATTAATTAGCTAGGGCACAATAGTTTGAGCTTGTTTTTTTTTCAGTGCCAGACAGCAGAGTTAAATTAGCTGATTCATCTTCATACTAGACAATGGCAGCGCCACGGGCTGTGGAGCAGTGACCCCTGTCAAACCTTCATCGTGTCCAGAAAGACAAATTCTCCTCCAATGACCTGGCGTGCAGGAAAATTCTGATCCAGGAAATCTCTGGGGCTTACACTGATTATTGATATTCAGTATGAATTGACCCACCAGCTCATGGCAACATTCATCATGAATTCTGCATCCTGTTCAGAAAAATATGCCAGATCAGATTTTTATTTAGACTGGATGGGTTTATTCTACTACTAAGTCTTAACAATTGATATGTATCATATATTGCATTTTGAGAGCTGAGTTCATTAATATTATCTAGAGAGGAAGCCAAACCGTGAGCCAAAAGGAGACCTAAAACTGTCTTAATGAAAGATTCATTCATGTGTGGAGGAGGAGGCGGGATGCCAGACAAGATAAGTATCCTTGGCTGGGAATTTTAAATTCTTCTCAGCTTCCAAGCCCAGTTTTAGAATATTAAATCAAGACACAAGAGTAGTTCATAAAGCTCATCACCAAAGTGCTATTAAAACTTACTGTCATACTTACATATATATATTGACATACAACATGTGTGTACGTATGTGTGAGTGTGTGCATACCTAAAGAGCCTGTTGGCGGAGGGGCCCCTGTAGGCGATGTTATTGAAGAAGACCTCCAGCTCGTTGTCATTGTCAAAGTCTGCAGCGATAACTGTGCGAACCGGGGATGGCATGGAAAACTTTTGGGATGCTATGTCCTGAGAAAAAAGCAAACATGGTATTAGTGACACACACACACACACACACACACACACACACACACACACACACACACACACACACACACACACACACACACACACACACACACACACACACACACACACACACACACACACACACACACACACACACACACACACACACACACACACACACACACACACACACACACACACTTTAAGTAGTTGAAAGCAAAGAAAAATCAGCATAACCAAATTCATTATAACCAAATTTTGATCAATCACAGTTTAAGAACATTGTCATTGTTATGTTGTTGTGTACAAAAAGGATTTTCACCAGAACCTGTTGTTATTACAGCTTGCATCCTACATGTGTTCACTCCAGCATGCAAGGTGGTGCAGGCTGAGCCAATGAATGGCTAGAGAGACTGTTCCATAACCTGAAGGTCACAAGTTAAATCTCCACAACAGACAATATGTCCATCAATAATCAAGTCCTTCAGTTAGACACTGATCTGTCATCCCACTGTAAGGCTCTCTGACCAAGAGTTTCATATAAAGACAAGAACAAAGACCTGCTTTACATCCTCTGGCTTCAGAAAAGTAGGCTGCAGCTCTCCTGCACAAAAAAAAGTCTCCTCAGCAAAGGGGTTTTTGCACGAGAAAGTAACAGATATCTCCTCGCTTCAGTGACACGGTGATAAGTCGGGGAAAGAGTTATAGAGCGGCCCTTCACTCCCTCCAGTATTTACTCCCTGTTTTAATTATAAGGCTCATAAAGCCGGTGGGGGGAGGGCGAACAGTGACCTTCTGCTTCTCAGGTGAAGGAGAGGGGATGGCCAACTGAGGCCATGAGGGACAGAGGGACACTTCTACATTATTACTAGGTGGATGAATAGATGTGCCATAAAGAAAAAGAAAGGGACTCTCACCAAAACAAATATGGAGCACAGAAACATGAGATTTAGAGGAAAAGAGGAGAGAAAGTTTCAGAAAAATTGTTGTATTTATAATATAGCACTGTTTTATGGCAAAAATTTGATTAGTTTAAATAATGGTGTAAATAATAGACTACTACTATAATGACATTTTTCTTCTAAACTCCACCTCCTTATAGGGTATGTATATAAATAATATATTAATTTCTTATGGGTGTGTGTGTGTGTGTGTGTTTGTGTGTGTTAAACCTATTGCTAGAAAACCTGGGTAATAGATTTTAATTAAAGCACAAACAGGCCTAATCGGCACTTTCCACTACCCAGGCAAGCTGCTGTTTCAGCCCAATTTAATTAGCGGTTTACTGGAGTGATACAACAGCTTCATTATGCATGCCAAAGGTCAACACGGCTAGGAGGAGTGTCAGCTTGTGTGGGGGGAAAGGGGTCTTAAATGTGTTGTGGGCTTGTGATTTAACAATCTTGGTTTAAAAAACATCAGCTAGCTAATTCAATTTGTCTTCTGTGTTTGTGTGTGTATTAAAGTGCAGTGCATGTGCACACGTGTGTGTGTGTGTGTGTGTGTGTGTGTGTCACGCTGATGGAATTGTCTCTGGGCTAAGCATCACACATTAACCCCTTATGTGACCCCTATAAAGATGTCTCCTGTGACGTTTATCTCTCTGGTAAAAGATGCAGCCGCAGGTGCTGACAGATAGATCACCAAACACAGAACCTGAGCAGATTTACACGCAGCAGAGCTCGTGTCTGTCTGTGATGCTCTAAACTGTACAGCACAACTACATTACACTGCTAGCTGTCTCACAGGACCTGTCTTTAGTCGTTGATTCAGTAAATCAGCGCACGTCTGTCTTTAAATCCCACTCAGTCCCAAAGTGGGCCAGCGCTGGCAAGTGCTAATTCACTAGCCGTCCGTTAGCGTAGATAACTCTGATTCACAGAGTTAATGGATGAGATTTGCTGTCTTTGTGCTGCTTGTTCATTAGTCATTGATTCTGGAGAGAGAAGAAGAGGAGAGAACCGCAACCTCGCTCTAAAACTCTCCTACATCATTTGCTGTGCCTGATTTTCTGATGTGGGAATCATTCGACACAAAGACTGTATAGATTATCATTGAGTGCTGGTTACTGTGGACTATCCACAGACATACCTGTGAACACTTTGGAACGACTAGAAACCCATTCCAAAAGCGACTGACCAGGTGAGCAGAGTTGTGAAGCTCCCCCTTTTTCACTATTCAAACAACAACTTCCGTCACTTTTTTGTGTGTACAACCAAAAGTGTGTTCCCAATAATTCCCATCCATTTTGTCTTTTCACCTTACCTTCAAGCATGAACATTTGGAGCAGGTATACACACTTTTGAAATGTCAAACCACCCTTTTGGTTTGAAGCATACTGAGACTTTAAAGCCAGTATTCATACAAGATGCTGTTGTGTAACTCTTGGCATTTTTGTGCATTAGTTGTTGAGTTTAATACCCAGGAAACACATTTGGACCCACCTTGAACTTCTGTTTGCGGTTATTCAGCTGTATGTACAGGCGATGAGGTCCATTCCAGTTCCCGTAGACGATGTCTGTCTTGCCGTCACGGTTGAAGTCTGCCAGAGCAACCCCTCTGCCATGCTGCATGGGGTCCTCCACACCTACAGGTATATGGTAATATACTCTATTATACAAGAAAGCCTACATTGTGTATTGTTTTTGCATCAGATTCACATGAACCGATCTTCAAGGTTATGATTTGTAAAACTGTACTTGGTCCTCTTACCAGCCTGCTGTGCCACATCAGTGAAAGTTCCATCTCCGTTGTTTCTGAACAGGAAGTTGGGTCCATATTCGTTGTCGCAAAACACATCAGACAGGGTTTGACTGACAATGGGCCCCACCACCACACCTCGCCCTCCTGCACAAACAGTCAGAGAAACGAGGCTCAGAGGTAAGAGAGAATTAGGCTGTTAAAACGAGGGTGAACAGAGAATTTTAGGAAGAAAAAATGAAGCATAATAGCCAGAACAACAGAGCGAACAGAGGGAGAGAGATCAGCTCCATCACAAAAGTGAACGGTGAGAGATCATTACTGTCTTTCCAGGCCATTTCCTCTAAGCAGGGCAGGTCTTTCTGCTGACACAGACACTGACTCTGATAGGGTACACACACATAAACACACCTAGGCACAAGCGCAGACAAATACAAAAACACAAAGACGCGACACGCTGACAATCTTTTGCATTAACCAAAAACTAACAGTAGTTTTCTCCTTCTGAAAAGATCTTCGTGACCCCGGGATTTTCCAATGACATTCTATAAAGTGAAGTGCCTCACTAAAGTGTCTCATCTGAGACCAGCGGAGTCTAATTATTTAGTTGAAAGGGCTTTGATTGCCCTTCCAGTATGCACTCAGTGCTGTGAGTCAGGACTCGCTCCTGATTTAGTGGCCCGCTCCATCAGCCCAGACAAATATCACTCGCCCCCTATGGCCATAAACCACTAATGTCTCTCCAGAGATTTGTAACCATTAGATATACAACTTCACTGACTGTCCCTCTGCTCTGATTAACGGCAGTTTGATGACAAAGCCATCTACCCTACATCATTCACAGCGATTCTGGGCCAACCCACTCTGCCCCTCCGGTGGACGTAGATGACATCCTGCATGCAAAAAGATCCACAGATGATGAAGATTGATTCTGTTACGCTCAAATACAAAGTCGTGTCCCATTTCAAAAACTTGCTTGGACATCAGCTTCAAGGACTTTTCAGTGGTAACAATAAAGTATCACAGAGGCAGCATTTTTTACTCATGATGGTCTCTATTATCAAAGAAACAGATCACGGTGAAATCGTTCATTTTGGCATTTATTGTTCTCCTCTTCTATGCCGAAGCAGGTATCCATCACAGGGTTAAGTGAAGTGTTGATCCAAACATGGGAAATGAGCTGAGGTGTGGCACTGAATTTCAGTGTTATTTTTTAGGTTAAAAAATACATCTCAAGGACATACATTTCAAAAAAGCATTTAAATAAAAAAAAGTAGGCTTTGTGGAAAGGCAGCTTAAAAAACAATAAGAGCACAATAAAATTCCAGACAAGAGGCATTCAAATTGTGAACAGTGCACACGAAAAAAATACAAATAATGGAGATAGAAACTGGAGCAAATAAGGCTTTGGTGGGAACTGAGTGGCAGTATTGCACATTGAATAAATGAAAATTCAACTCTGTTACACCTAATGTTCAGAAGCCTGTATCTTCCTGAAGGAGAGGATGATGTGAAATTGTTGAAATGCTTTTTGGGTGACTTGTCAACTAAAAATGTCTGATAAATAAAGCTACTTCTCTGCATGGATTTTAAAGGCCACTTTGACAATGTTACCTTGTTGCTCCCTGTTTTGCACACTTACATCCTCTTACAGACCGATCAGTAGTAAGGTCAGTGTTCTATGACCTGTAAAATAACACCACAAAAACACCAACGTCTTGTCAACATTAACAACATTTAACTTCTGCAGGAAATACAGTCTTTCTATAGCTTTCCGGCATGTACAGTAACACTTTGATCAGACTTTGACTGAACTGGTTGCACATAAAATACACTGTGCTGTAAAGGCATCCACATATTTATATTAACAACATCAGATGTCTGGGAGAACCACACCAGGCTGTGATAGATGCCATCTCTGGTCGTTGAGCCGGTCTGATGTATGTGCGTGTCGCCCTTTGCTTCCCTGTGACTTTGGCTGGAGTAAACAGCTGACAGGGCCAAAAGAGCCCACTAACACTCAAACCCTCTCTCCCTCCAGTCCTCCCTTTCTTCTCTCAAGCTTACGCTCGTCATGTTCTCTTTCTTTCTTTCGCCTTTCATTTTTTTCTTGCCTGGCATCCCTCCAACTCTCCCTTACTCGCCATCCTCCCCCGCTCAGTACTAAAGTCCTATATTTCAGACTCTATGGGTACAACAAGCACATGCCCCTCTGCAGATGTCTGTATAAATCAGACTGAAGGTCCAGTGGTGCTGGATGATCTTGAAGCTGGTCTCTCACACACACTGGGCTGCAGCCTACTTTTCTCACACTGTGCGCAACCACACACACACACACACACACACACACGCACGCACGCACACTAATTTCTTCAGACCTACCAGTGAACTTGTTGACTCCGGCCTGCTCTGCCACGCTGGAGAGGGCAATGACACCCTGTGAAAGGTCACTCGCTGCCTCATCCATTTCTATCAGAGCATGAGGACCCACGTTGCCGCTGGCGTAGTTAGCTATGTAGATAGCATAACGGCCTGTACCCTGGGAAGAAGAACAAATACGGTTTACAGTTATTCATATATTTATTTATAAGTTGTCCTTATATGTTCAAACTTAGCATAATAAGAAACCAGAACTGGCATGCGTAACTAGATGTGAGTTGATAAATCTTTCGATGATTTTCAGTTCAACTGATTTACAAAAAATATATTTTTTACTTTCCTTTTGTGGTGTGTAGCCACTTGCACAGGTTTCTTTTTTAAATATATCTATCTCTTAAGTTTCTACTGCCAGCCAGGTTCAAAGTTAATAGAATTTAATTTCTGGTGCCCACAACAGAACCATAGGTCAGTTTACTAGAGTAATGAGGACAGTTTCTGGTGAGACACATTGCTGCTGATTGAAAAAAAAAGATTGAATTGCTGTCAGTACCACCAACAAAATTTCATTCACCTCCTTTGTACTGATGTGGATGCAGAAATCTTAGAGACTAATGACAAAACATGTTTTTATAGGAAAGGGCTCATTGTATTTTTTATCTTTCTACTTCTTCAAAGACAAAAATATAACAATGTGTTTGTCTGTCTGTCTCTCAATACTACAAATTACCTACCCTGTCTGTGGCTCTCACGGCCATTAGTTGAATATGTAAATCGTTAAAACTGGTCAAGAGTATATTTTTTCATTTAAACCTTTAATAAATGATTTTTTGGCCACGCAAAACACACTGTCAACACCTTTTAAGTTGATATGGCGAATATGTTAGCAAACAGTTGCTTATTTACTCATCCAGCTGTCACGGAACACATTATCATTCATTTGGAGTTGTATTTCTGGCCATCTGATAAATGTTCACTCTCTTTTAGCTTTTGTTTTTTTCTCCACCAACCCCACGTTGTTTGTTGCTAACTGTGTCTCTCTGCCGCTCAGTGCCGACCGTGTATGGTACAGAGAGTTTTAGAGCTTTTTAGCTAAAAAAAAAGTTGCTTGCAGTAGTCAAAAACAACATTATGAAAGTGGTGAAAGTAAATTAAAACAGTAAATTTATGGACTGTACAGCAAAAAAAAAAGAGCTGAAACTTGTTATAAAGCTCTGTAAAGCTGATTTGAGCTGCAGACTAATCATGTGTAGGTTAATATATGAGCAACCCCTTTCACATTGTTACATTCACATTTTCACAGTTTTAATGGGATTAAATATGTTACTGATAAACATCGTTTTTTAATCTTTGCTATCTTTGTGAATATTATGCCAAGTTTCACCTCCTAATCAAACCTTTTCTTTCCTCTTTGTCTCCCTTTACCCCGTTTCATATCCTTTACCCTCTTTTCCTCAGCCTCTCTCCTTATTCCTTCCTCTGCCTCCCTTTGGAGATTAATTTCACACTCCATTATCAGTCAGAGTCCCTGCAGACACGAACTCACAGACGGAACCACACTAATAGACTACACACTCGATTCCAATGAGCTTTCCCACCAGGCCTAACATATTTCAATCAATACAAACACATGCACACATGCAAACGCACACACATATGCGCCATTTCACCATTGGTGTTAACTTTACTGTATTTTCACAAGACAAGAAAAGTAAATGAGTGTAGTTGATGTAAATGTCATGAAGCATCACATTATGGCCTGCTGAGGTGGCAGCAGAGGGTTGCACTTACACACATACACACTCAGGCAAAATGAGAATGAACTACAATGAAAGACCTGAAGGCCACTGGCAGTTTCTTAACAAACTTAAAAGTCAACGATTTTTCAATAAGTCTTCACCCAAGGCTAATTTCTGTCACTGGGATTGGCACTGTGAATAGTGTGACATGCATGCCTGCAAAAAGAGCATGTTGGTGCACGGATATGTGACTGCCTGCCCTTTACATCAGTCCTCACAGCTATCACTGAGACGCCTGAATAAGCTACCACCTGTAATCAAATTTCTTTAATTTTTTTCAAATGTATATTGTGCTTTTTATCAGACTTATTTCAATTATTCTGGCTTTTAAAATCAACTTATTCTCAGAGACTCCATCCTGCCTGCCAGTGCAAAGTGAACCGATCCATCAGTTCACATGAGACCCATCAATATGTCACCTTCATCAGTTTGTGTAAGACTAATGATGGGACGTCACTTTCAAGGAGACTGGGAGGGATGAAACAGTTGGATGACTAATTATGCCTCTTTTTTTCTGAACGATAACACTTTCTTTATGAGTAAACAAGACCAAACGCATTAGCTACCTAGACGACTATACAACATGCTTTGATTTTGGCCCATGTAACCTTCTGCCATTGTTCCATATCTGTTTTAATAAAACTTGCTCAGCAATAGGAAAATGTATTCTC